TATTGTGAAAATCTGAAGTGTGACCCTCTGGCAGAGGTCTGGGTTTTGTTATTTTTTTTAACTTCTTTTCATTTGGTGACAGCAGAGGTGTCACGGAGAGGCGAAGCGCTCACAGACTCCCCTTCTTAGCAGGAAAGCTTGTAACATGGCATTTGGCTGAAGCGCCAAGGGTGATAACTGGAAAATCAGATGCATGAAGAGGATTTGGCTCTTGTGTCACCCAGCCTGATGCCAGAGCTGTTTAAAGGTTGAAATGCAACTTCAGCTGCTTAGAGGAGTTTGCATATCTCTCATAATTTCACTTCCCTATGTATTACATATAGAGCATATGGTTGTTGGGAATAGCTGGGTTGAGAAACTGGGGCTTTGGTCCTGCAGGCTATTGTCTTTGAGATAGCTGTAAATGTGATTAAAAGCAGAAGTGTTTGTGGGGAGTAGAGTGTAAAACTACTGGGGAAATCTGGAGAGAGACTCAAGTGTTTGAGCAGTTCCTTGAGAAGCAGAAGTGAATCTACTATTTCCTGTACTCAGCAAGGGAAAATGTCTGGTGGAGGGAACTCACAGCCCTGCAGTCCTTCTTCAGTGTCCTCTACGCTCTTCAATTAGCTTCATCCCTCAGGTGAACATTTATCGTTAGCACAAGAGAGAAAATCGGGTTGCAGCCGACTACAGAAGACCACAGCACGCGTTGTGGTGGGCTTTGCGGGGATGATGGAGAGTACCTGGCAGGGAAGGATGGAGGATGGGCAGAGCTAGGTTTCCTCGTTTTAGGGTGCAATAAAATTTCAGCACGTTATGCCTATCTGGCATGGGCCAGGTGTTGGGAGCCCTTTGGAGTTTGCAGCCCACCTACTGAGTAACATCAGCTTAAACTGAGCAAAGTGGTATCAGAGAGGCTGAATATTCCAAAAGAACTGATGGCATTGCATACACAGGATGGGCAGTGATGGATTTGAGTATGTGGCTGGTGACATACAAAATCCAGGAGCTACAGAGTGAACAAGCCACAGAGTGTGCCAGCAGTTTTGGATGCCAACATCATTTTGCTAAGTGCAGGTCTCGCTAGCCCTTGGATGTGCCATGAAGCATCTCACCCTTCCTGTTGTCATAGGCACCACGGGCTTTGCAGCCACCCATCCAGGGGTAAAGGAAATAATTTGCTACTGTAGAAATAAATGATCTCCATCAGTGAACTAGAGGAGATTACCTGACTCTTCTACCTACCTGAAAAGGTACTTCAGGAAAAATCCCAGCCCAAGTGATGTTCCTTTTTACTTTAATAAGGCCAGGAGCTCATCCTGCACCTCTGTGTAGATGTTCTCCTGTGAAGAAGGCAGCCATTCCCACACCCAGCTTTCTCTCCAGGCAGTGCCAGTGGGAGCAGGCTCTGCAGAAGTCTGCCAGACCTGAGGGCTACCCCATGGTGGAAGCAGCCTCTGCAGAAGTCTGCCAGGCCTGAGGGCCACCCCATGGTGGGAGCTGCACTTGCTTATGCATGTGAAATCCTTCCTGCACCCAACAGAGCACAGCGCCTTGTACGGACACATATGACAACTCTCCAGAGGAACAAGTTGCCTTCCTAGACTTGAATGAGGGAGTAAGCATGGGAAAGGCCAGCACAGCTAGAGGTTGGCAGAGAGGAGAGTAAACCAACGTGCACTCCCTCCTCCAGACCCGGGATTTCACACAGCACAAGCAGTCTAGGTGAGCACCACCGAGCAGCCTCTCCGGACACCTGTGCACTTAGCAAAGATGCTAATGGCATCGGAGAAGGTATCCATTAGTTTTTACTTCTCTGTGTGAGAGGACTCCTACCTGTCACACCAGGAGAGACATGTTTGAAACAGGAGCTCACATGGCAGAGAAGCAGCTGAGGGACCTTGCAGGGACATCATGGCATCTGTCTGGCTTTGTCACAGAGTCACAAAGTTAGGATGTACTTCTGGAGGTCTCCCGCCCAAACCCCTGCTCAGAACAGGGCTGGATGAGTTTCAAATATATCTAGTGATCTCAAAACCTCCCCAAAGTGCTGCCTGGTCTTTGACCACTCTCACAGTGAAAATTTTTTCCATATAGTAACAATTTCCCATGGCCATCACCTCTTGTTTCCCTGAAGAAAACTGTGTGCTTCACCTTTACACCTTCTCACTAGAGCCCCCATGAAATGTCTCTTGTTGAGGCTGATCAAACCCAGTTCTCAGCATCTTCTCATACACCAGGTGCTCCAGCTCCCAACCATTTTGGTAGCCCTCACCTACCACACATCAGTGTGCACTGGTGAAGAACTGGCTGTGGAGCACAGCAGCCCACAGGCTAAGATGGAAGCTCTGGCACCATGCAGGTGGGTGAAGTAAAAGTTCAGTGGCAGGGAGCCAGTTGTGCTGACGTAGTGACTCATGCTCAGCATGAAATACTCGGTGTACCCCAACACTCCTTTTCATTTTAAGGGCACCTGCTGTGCACATTTACTTTCACAAGAGGAGTGTCAGCATGGAAAAGCAGAAAATGATTAACTATTTGGAGCATGTACCATGTCATCTTCTCACTTCTGTATCCCTCTACAGGGTAGTAGATAAAGTAATGAGTGGACAGACACATGAAGAGATGAGGAACCTGTCAGGTTCCTCTCTATAGGCAATTCTAATTATTTATCTCACCAATAGAAAATTAGTATCTTGTTTACAACTACTGCCAGCTTCTGTCCCAGCACCGAGGCGTTTCCTGTTCATCCCCTTTAATTCTGCTGGTGTCGGACACCACATCTCCAGAAGCCAGAGAATTAAACTGGGCTGCAAGCAAAGGTGTGGAAAAGCTCTGAAGGTGGGCTCAGCTCCCAGCTCAAAGTGGAAAGGTGCTGCAAGAGCCACTCAGCCTGTGGGCGTGTGTCTGCCTGCTGCAAACAGCCTTCTCCTTGCCGTGCCCATGCCCCAGAACTACCAGTGCTGAGACAGCCCTTCTTCTAGCCCACTTTTCCTGTGCAAAACCACAAAGGTTTTTTTTTTCTAATGACTGTGGGCACTTCTCATTTAAATGTTTTAGGGACAACTAGGCTTTGAAGTTTCAGAATAAGAAGCTATCTTCAAATGGAGAGTCTGTGTTTTCAACTAGCACAAAAATGTAGCACATTTCTCTTTGAGAAATGACTACAAAATGAGAGGCCAGAACTTCATGGCCCACACCACAAAAGGCACTCTGGCAATGAGGCATTAAGAGAAAACGTCAGTATAGTCACAGTAGCCACTCATGAGGGAGTTTGTTGTAGTTACCACTACATCATATGAAACTTCTTGGGCAAGGACTGTCTCACACCTCAGGACATGTTTATTTCATGCTTAGTCTTTCCAGGCTTATTTTAAACAGAGGCTATGAAGAATATTGCTGTCAATGAAATGTGGACATGTAGGCTGGGATTCATAGAATGGTTTGGGTTGGAAGGGACCTTAAAGATCATCTAGTTCCAACCCCCCTGCTATCAGGGACACCTTCCACTAGACCAGGTTGCTCAAAGCCTCATCCAACACTCATTCCAACCATTTTGTTCTAAGTGTCAAGAGTGGGAGTAGCTACACACCATTACCATCTACCACTGAGTCATATGCCCATGCTTATCATGGAGCATCATCCATGCTCATCATGGGTTTCATCCATGTGGTCAGCAGAGTCTGGAAAGCAGTCTGTCTTGTCTGAAAGCAGATTTGGGCCGACCTGCACTGGATCAGAAGCACTGCTCTTCATTGGCTGTATTGACTACATCTCCTGCTAACAAAGGGTGTGACATCTACGTTAGAGACAACTTATGGTTACTGAACTGAGTCCCTTCTTTACAGTCAACAGGGGTTCCTGTAAGAAGACTGTGACACTGTGACTGAGAGGTACTTGCAGTTTAGGTATCATTGACCTTTCCTGTCAGTCTTATCTTTAGCAGGCTGGTTTGGCTGTGTTGTCATGTCCCTGAGCCTCTGCACAGTGTATCACACTCAATTTCCTCCATTTCCTCCAGCGAGAGCAAGTAACGAATACTTACAAGCTCTTTGCCCCAACCAGGCAGCAGAGCTAATGCAGTAACATCTGCACCCCTTCAGGATTTTCGATTTCTGCAAACAGAAATCTTTGCAGAGACTTGAACACCACATCCCAAAGGAGCGCAGAGGAACTGACGGGTGCCCTGAGTTACTGGATGTGCAGATCAGCAAGCCCAGAGGTCACACACCTGGACCCCATACTCTCTTTGGGTGCAGCCTCCAAACTAACAAGCCGTGGCTCCAAACTGACTAAACCTGACTACCCTGCACCCAAGGCAGGAGCAGTCACAAGATGCTTTGGTCCTTGAGGAAAAGTGTCAGTATAGTGTCTCTTCTTTAGATTATAGGGCAATTTTTAAAAAAACCTCATCAAAAGGTATTCTTGCTCCCATGGGATGTCCCAGTGCAAACTGCTCCTCCCACGTTGGCAAACATCTGCTCAGACCCAGCCAAACTGGGTGTCTTACCACACTTCCACCCCAGGGTTAACACGTGGGGCAGGATGGGGTTCTTGGTGGTGTTGGCAGGCACCGCATGCTGATCAACAGCTAAAGCA